GCATGCCACATGTAATGTTAGGGAACATGATGTTTCAATTAGTAAATCAAGGTTGAAACTTAGAGATTGTATTTTTTCCTCAGGATTTGTGTTTAGTGAGTTTCCGTTTTTTCCCCCTTGTCAGTATTGTAGATAGGATATCTTGGGTCTCAGTGGGTTTTTTTGTGAAAGCTTCTATTGGGTCTTCAAATTATCTAATATATTTGGATTATTATAGTTACAGTTACTAGGATCTCAGAGGCAATACTACTGCCAATTTATTTCTTTTTATTTCTTTTTGTTAGTGATGCTTGTAGTGTTACCTCTAGGACAAAAGAAGAGGAAGCTTTGAGTGGAGGTGTAGTTGTTTAGCTCTCTATCTTCTTTGCTGAGACAGAGTATGGCAGTGCTGCAGTGCAGTGATACTTCAGCTGGCATTAAACTAATTATTTTGGGTACATGAAGCATTCTGGCTACACAGAATGAAGTCAAGTATGCTCTGATTTTCCCTGCCAAAAGGCTTAGCAACTTGGGCACCAATGAATGAATAACAAACAATAAATAGCAGTGTCTGGATAGGAATTTATGGGGATGTCGTGGTTCAAGCCCAGCTGGCAACTAAGTACCAGGCAGCTGCTCACTCGCTTCCCACCCTACCTCAAGTGGGATGGGGATGAGAATTAGCGGGGGAAAAGTAAAACTTATGGGTTGACATAAGAAATGAAATGAAGTAAAATATAATAAGAATAAAAAAGAAGAGGGAAAGAGAGACAGAAAAACCTAGAGAAAAAAGTGATACACAATTGCTCACCACCCACTGACTGGTACCCAGCCCATCCCTGCCCTGCAACCAGTCCCTTTCTGGGTAACTCCTCCCATTCATGGACTGGGCATATTGTTCTATGGTATGGAATACCCCTTTGGCCAGTTTGGATCAGATGTCTCAGCTATGTTCCCTTCCAGGTTTTGTGAAGCTCTTCCCTGGCAGAGTATGAGAAGTCCTTGACTTAAGGTAAACACTACTTAGCAACAACCAAAACATCAGTGTACTACCAATATTATTATACTGAATTAAAAACACAGGACTGTACCAGCTACTAGGAATAAAATTATCCCAGCTGAAAACAGAACGGGGAGAGCTTGTCATTCTGAACTTTTTCATATTCCCTACATTGCTACCTCTCTTGCTTCTGTAGTCTTTTATCTCTTTTTTTCTAACTTCAAAGGAAAAAATGAAGCAAAGAAGGATGACAGAATGCAGAAGCTGTGGGCAATGTATCATCCAACAGCAGACACCTGACTGTAGCTATTTCTCAGACAAAGGGTCTGTGCAATAATTCCCACGTTAGGCAAAGCTGACACCTTACACAGAAAATAAGAGTTGAATTGAATGAGAAGATAGACTGGATTGTGGTGATCATGTGCAGAGCTCAAGCATACTGACCAGCAACTCAGCTGTCCCCTTTTGTTCCCCTCTCTTCAATTTCCCATGCCTATTCTTGGGTTTAACATGATGACCTTTCTTTATCCCCCACTGTCTACTCTCAAATAACTTTCTACTCTGACTACTTTTTCCTCACAAGTCTCGCTTTTGCTAGTTCTGTATCCGAACTTGGTGTTTCTGGTGGGGTTACCTAGCCGATCATTTAGCAGTCACCCAGCAAGTTTTACTCTTCAAAATGTCCTTAGTTCTCTGCTCCATTATCTGTGAGATTTCATAGAATCATAGAATCATTTAGGTTGAAAATGACCTTTAAGGTCATCGAGTCCAACTGTTACCTTAACACTGCCAAGTCGATCATTAACCCATGTCCCTAAGTGCCACATCTACACTTTTAAATATTTTAGATACCTCCAGGGTAATACCTTCTCTGGGCCGCTTGTCCCAATGCTTAATAAACCTATCAATGAAGAAAGTTTACCTAATATCAAATCTAAACCTCCCATCTTGGCCATCCTTACATCATTCCCTCTTAACCATCTGTGAAATTTAGTCATTCTTCGTGATGTTATCTGTAACTGGACATTAGGAAGCATTACTTTACCAAGAGGGTGGTCAAACACTGGAACAGGTTTCCTGGAGAGGTGGTGGATGCCCCAAGCCTGTCAGCGTTTAAGAGGCATTTAGACACTGCCCTTAATAACATACTTAAACATTTGGTCAGCCCTGAAGTGGTAAGGCAGTTGGATGAGATGTTCCTTGTAGGAAAATGTTCCTTGTACTGTAACATTGTTCCTTACAAATGAAATAACCAATTCTAAATGTGTTCAGACTGGATATAAAGGATATTTCTAATCAAGAGTGAGGGGAGTATCTGAAATGTGCTCCCCCAAAGTGTTTCAACCAGAACAATCCCAAATAACAGCTAATGAAGCTTACAAGGCAGCTTCATCAAGTGTGAGTGAAAGTGGTTGCAAGTCTGTGTTAAATTTATCTTGTGATGTGCTTGTGATTTGATACCTAATGCTGGTACCAAAACAGATCATAAGGAAGTGGCTGTATTTTCTTCATAAATTTTAATAATAGCAAATATAGACCAGTTTCATTCCAAACTGTTGTTTGTGTTCTGTGGTCTTTAAAACACTTTTGCAATTATTATTATTATTATTATTATTATTACTATTATTGAGGGTTTGAAACATAGAAGGAAAGAAAAATGTTGCTGCAAGTTTGAAATTTCGACCTAGTTTTACAAATAAAGACCAAACTTTTTTGAAGTACTGGCAAGAAAGAATAGTGAGATAAAACAACTTTGCCTTTTCCCCCACTACCACGTTCTCTATTTCCTCTAAAAGCCTGCAGTGCTTGCCTGAGGAACTGGAGACCTTGCCATAACTTTTAATTCCTACAGAAAGGAGACCTGACCAGAGTTTTCTAGAACTAAACATGTGTCTCAAGCCATTTTCATGATTTTGCTTTCTCCAGAAATTGAATCCAATATCAGAGAAATGTGTTTAGTAAACTATGTTCTTTTATGCAGTGTAAGAAGAATTGATATTTTAATTAAAAATACAAAAAATATAGGAGACTGTGGACAAAAACATTATTTGCAGGATAGCACATGATACCTAGAAAATTTAAAACTATCTGTTTGAAAACTGAGAACTCAGACCTGGGTGAAGTGGAAGATATTTATATTTAGGCCAAGCCCAAGCTGTAGAGTGTGGAGGAGAACAAAGTCCTGAAAACCATAAAACATTTAAAAAACTTTATTAGTTTTTAAACTAAATCCTCCTAAACATATCTGAGTTTTTATTTTTTTCTTTGTTCTTAACATAAAAAATGAAGTGAGAGAAGTATGAAAAATGGAAATGCAGAAATTTAAGACTCATGTTAAACAGTTTGATTAAAAATTTGAAGATAAGATTTAGAATCTTGGCATTCACATAACCAGCTCCTTCTGGTATCCTTTGCAGAAGGAAGTACTGGATGTGAGTATAAAATGAGAATAAAATATGATATTAATTTGCACTGAAGTAGCAAATATTCTAGAGAAGTCTCAGGTCATTAATCTATCTTCCAGCTAAGGGAACTACATTAATAGCTTATGGGATTTACAGGGCAAGCTTCAATTTAATGGTTCACCCTAAGTTTGGGGAAAATAGGAAAGGGCAGGATACTGGAGGATGCATTATATCTTGATGCATTAAAATCAATGGCAAAACTTTCTTGGCCTAAAATGGCCTCTAGATAGTTTCTAATTTCGTTGCTGCTGAACGTTAATTGCCTGTCTGCAAAGTGGAGGAAACTATATTTTCCTGACAAGTGTTAAAACTGACAGTAATCCTCATAGCTCTGTCTTGAATAGGAAAATAATCTGAATTAATGTTGAGCTTTAATTGCATTTTTGGAGGTGAATGGGATGGGGCTTGTTTTTTTTAAATGTGGCCTCAGCCTAAAAAAGACAAATATTTGCAGTGAATTATAAGAAGATACCTGCAGGGTCACACAGTTTCACTTTTCTAAGGAGCTCTCATCACTGGGGTCCTGCCTGTGTTTTGTCACTAGTCACTATGTTCTTTAAATTATATTATTTCCCTGTGCTCTGAAGCTAGGTGAGAAACCCTTTTTTATGTTTCTTGCTGTTGGATATAGGGTGTGCCTTTGTAAATGGAGAGAAGAGCATATTACATATTTTGCAGCTGATTCATGAGAAGGCTCAGAACAAGAACCAGGGAATAATGTTGTAATCTAATAGCTGAAATTCTGTCTTCACAGGGGAGAGTCACTAGTACAGCACCTATAAATCTGTGTTGGTGCAGTGCATCATCAGATATGCAACCTTTTTTAAGGTGATAATTCCCATAATTTGAGTATTGACCTTGTTCTATGTTGTACAGACTTGTAATCTGTGTTTTTCTGAGTGATCCCCACAGGTGGGACATTTCTAATGTGAAGTCACACTGTGAGACACCTCTGAGTGTGCTGGGAAGATGGGATTATAAATATTCATTGCTCTTGCAACCTTGGGCTATGAATGTTTCAGATTTTATAAGCTAAGCAGAACTGGGCCTAGTCAGAGAGAAAAGAAAATCTCAAAACTTTGGTAATTCCAGGTGATAAATGAAGCAGAATGAGTAGAAAATGAGAGTTTTTCTGCTAGGCTGATTTTGAGCCAACATGCTAATTTGATTAGGAGAAGTACATAAGCACAATATAAAATCTAATCACTTATGACAAAACCAAGTCAGGCTGGATTTCCCTCCCTTGGAAATACAATAACTGCTTTGTGGTCTGCTTTCATCATCGAACTATAGGTTTGGTCACCTTACAGGTGTAAGGAAAAAGAATAGGTGCTGTCAGGGTCCCCCATGCTGTCCCATCCCTTCCCATGGTGGGACCCTGACCACTGGCCATGGGAAATACAATTAGAAAAGGGACCACATCATGAGCCTGGTGAAAAATCTGGCTCGGATTGTGTATAATGCCACTAGCAGTTTCTTTCAACTACATGTCTGACAAGTAAGGGATGAAGGGCAGTAGGAACTCATTTCATTCCTTTCCTACTTCATTTGTCCAGGTACAGAAGAAGGACTTGCTAATGCTGGGTGCCTGCCTGTGCTCTGCGATGAGATGCAGCAAAATCCAGTCCTCAAGCCTCCTTCCTACGATCAGGTACAAATGTGTTTGGATTTTTTTCTTTCTTAAAGAGTAGCTTTGCAGATAAATTATCCCAAGGGAAAATATAATCTTATATGCCTCCCCTGACCACTGATAGATCTATGTGGCAGAAGTTCAAAAGGAACCCTGCTGCCACCAGCTTCATGGCATCGCCCTGACAGAGCCTGAAAATCATAACCCAGCGCAACTTAGAGTGTAATTGTTTTCCCATTGGATTGGTACTCATACAGTGTCCCTTCTGGCATAGGTGAATCTCCAATGTCTATACCACTGGCTAGTGAGAGCTCTTTTCTCTTTTTTGTTGTTTTTTTTTGTTTTCTTTAAACCAGGAAGGACTGTAATATCAAAAAGTCATCATATTTTCACAAAACGAAATCACTGTTTCCAGTCAGCCTTGAAGTTCTCCTTTAATACACAAAAGCTTCTCCTTATTTGTGATGTGTTAAGCAGTACGAATTCAGTGGAGAAATTGGGGATGGCTGCCTTGAGGGCGATTGGCAGGAGGGAATTCTTAGGATCTGTCACAGTAGAACATTGCAGCATGAAATATAAAAATGGGTTCAAAATGTAGATCCACCTCCATCCAAAGTCTTCTAATGCCTTTTTTTCATCTCCACTTGAGAATTTGGTGTTCCTGGGGAAAAACAAGAAGAGAATTTTGAAATTAAATGGATGAAAATTTGATAATCCCCAGTGACCTATTTTCTTATAAGATTATGGAATTGTGTAAATCAGTGTGGTTTTTATAATTATTAGAGTATAAGAGTGCCTGAATACATACAGCTGGGACTGCCAAGGCAGGAGCTGAGTCTGGGACTCCTCCCTCTATCTCTTTCTTGCTATTTCTTTTAGAGAAAAAGCATTCTACTGAAAACTCCTGGAGAGTATCCTTACTGTCACCTTCAGTTCAAATTTCATTATACTTCCTGTTCCAAGGGCTTATCCCACTGCCCAGGGGCAACCAATCTGAGATGGGATCCTCAGGATTATCTCTGTGAAACACAGCTGGTAGTTCTTCTATTTTTGCCCCTATGCCAATTTTCTATTCTTTCCCAGCATGCCAGTTGAGCTTCTTATGAAGCTGTAGTGGAAAAACAAATCAGTGAAATGCTGCAAACTATAAAAATTATGCATTTAACAATTTTTATTATTATCATGAACCTTAAAGGAGAGGGAAAAGGGGGAAATGTTTTAAACTCCTGTCCCTTTTGGACAGACAATAATGCTCATTTTTTGATGTCATAAGCCCAAAGCATAATATTTCTGTAAGATACTTCCCTTCTGCTTGGGGCTCTTTAACAGAGCTTAAAGACATCCTCATCCAAAAAAAATATACTGTGTACTTGAGCAAAGTACGAAGCAGGTGGAGTAATGGTTAAAATCATTAAAATCTTTACCCCCAGGATTCTGGCCTGCAGCTTGTTCCCCCTAAGCTTATGTGATGACTCATATGCATTTACATTCCCCCGTGCTTCACACGGCATCTGCTGCTACACATTTGTTGCAGGATCTTGTCTTTGAACAGCTGGTGACAACCCACTTCCTCTTGCTTTCTTCAGCAGAGATTTTTCAATTGTTTCTTGTTGTTTTGATGTGAGACCCAGTGTTGGAAAAACAAGCCCATTTACCCTGATTAGAACCAGCCCTTTAAACACTTGCCAATTAACAACTCATTTGCTATTTTTCTAAGGACCAGGAAATACTTTCCTTTTCTCTCCTTTCATTTTATTCAGATGTGATTCCACATAAGCAGAACAAAGTCAAACAGTTCTTCTATAAAATGTTATAAATATTTCTCTTATTCTCGCCCTTCGTTTTGTACTACAAAGTTGGAGAGGAAGGGATCCTTCAAGCTAGTCTTCATAAGCTTGATGTCATGATAACCAGACTACCTTCTTACACTGCCACTGTCACTAGTGATGAGTTTTATAGACATGACCTGCTGAAAACCAAACAGGAGAACATCACATTAGCAACAATGATACAAAAAGTGATTAGTTACTTGATGCCAATTCTACTAACAGACATTAAGAAAAATAATGTAACATGCATGTGTTCTTAGCAAAATTAGAGACGGTCTGGTTTGTACTAGTCAAGTACGTGCAATCTTCTTTCAGAGATTTGATCTCAACTATTTCTGTGAAATCACACACTATGTTTTTATTCCTTCTGAAGTAAGCTAAATGCTTAGTTACTGGTTTTTTCTTTTTGTTTTCTCATTCAACACTTGAATGAGATTTCCTTGTCAGGGACAACCTTTATTACATAAATGCTTTGAGGAAGTACTAAACCTTCAAAAGTTTTCATTTTTGAAAAATACCATTACTTATCTCAGACAACTCCAGTAGTAGTTACTTGAGAAACTGCATATGATCCTACCAGACCTAAAGGTAAAGGCTCTTCTGCTTTGAAATGCTTGTGATTTATTACTGATTCAGTGACTATACCACTCCACAGGAATTTTCCAAGTGGGAGATTTCCCCTTTTTCATAATTCAGGTTGAGGTTACAATCTGTTGTTTAGCCTGTAACTGTACTATTTGTTCCCGTAAGTAGTATCTGTTCATATCTTCACCTATACTTTGCCAGTCCCTTAAAACATAGGTATAATTATGATACATGGTTGTTTAGGTGTTCTGCACCTCTCCACAGAGGTAAATTTGACAACCACTGCATACTCTGAGTTGAGTTTTCCTTTGCAAATGTCACAGAGCATCTGACTACAGAGGAAGGGGTTTTCTTGGAGAGTCAGCCTTGCTTTTTACCATTGGATATGTTGATTGTTCTTCTCTAATAGAGTTCCTTGGCTCCTGAATTTAAATACTGAATAAGCACACATATTTACTGAATCGTTGCCAAACTTGTTTTTTATCTGTTTGTTTCCTATGGCAAGGGAGGATTTCAAATCACTTTGCTGCTCAGGGGAAATTGAAAACAGGATCTATTTTTGGTTCTCATTTAACTTCTCAAGATGGATCAGTGGAAACCTGTTATAACACTAATTTACTTAAAGATGTATTATGTGCACTTTGCTAAAATGCTGAAGGGAAAAAGCTTTGCTTTTGCAGTTGTTTGGCCTGAAGCCAAGATCCTCCATGAAGCTATATGAAGAAGACAGAACAGAATTATCCACATATTTTTATGCATACAGTATTATTCAACTGATTGGCCAGTGGATCTATGCCCTTCTTAAAATATATTTAAAAAGACAGTATGGGGATATAGATGAGCTGAAGCTGTACCCTTTCTCTGTAGCTATGCAAATCAAGGATTGACGTGGAGCATTTGGATGACTCTACTCCCCACACCTGATGTCAAAGCAAAATATTGCTTTCTTAGAGCCAGAGATTAAATGTTTCTCATTTTACAAAATGCGGTCCAAGTGCAAAGAGAGGTGCTGAAAGTCTCAATGTTATTTTTTTTACAACAAACCATAAAGGTTAGTTGTACATAACTGTTAGATAATTTTTACTGTATTAGCTGTAACTTCCACTTGAGCACACCATGATGCTCTACAGTTGAGTGCACAACATCTTTTGGTGCATGGGGCAATATTGGTAAAAACTTAGTCTGTGGTTACACCTGCTCTATGAATAGCAGTGTCATTTGTCGTGCTTTTGAACACACTGCCTGTTCAACACAGCTGTTGACAAATTTTAGGTTGAGGTAGATTTGTCCTCTAGTTCACAAACTGGCTCTTTTCTCCCCCCTCCATTGTAGTTCATCTCAGGCTAAGGAGAGAGATTTGAACATAATTGGATATTCAACACCTGTGTTTCAATTATCATAATATTTGAAGAATCTGGTGCTTCACTTAATGTTCCTCAAGTAGTTCTCTTGATTATTTGCTATTGCAGAGCTGCAGTAAACTTGTTTGTTCCTCCTTTTCTCTCTGCCTGAATTTGATTTCAGAAAGCAATCTCAGATAAAGAGGAGATTTCAGAGTCCTAATCACATGCTGCTGTTGTTGGCTTTGTTGCTGCAAGTGGCAACATAGAGTATACTTTACCTTACACTATATGAAATGCCAGGAGCAGAATACATTATTTTCTTGTGATGTAATTTTTTTTTTGTGAGCTGTTCCAGAACAGGCATATCTGAAGGCCACAATAGTTGTATTCAGCAAGAATTTTATATAATATTACTTACAAGACATACATGTATCAGAGGGTTTTTTTGGTGAGAAAACAGGTCAGAGCACATACAACAACATATCACTTCTTTCTCTCTCTTGTCAATTACCATGGAGTCATCCTGCTTGCATAAGCTTCAGGTCAATAAAACAGATTTCAAGGCAGAATCCAGTATCTGCTGAGACACTAACTTCATCATGTGCCTACAGAAAGTGCATATTTTTTCATCATCTCTTTCTCCCAGTGTGATTGTTCTGATTTTCTTCTATGGAAGGATCCTGATGCACATTCAATGCGGTTTCATTTAAAGAATTTCTGCATGTTCTTGTTTTCCATCAGCACGCACCTTACTTCTCTGTTTGTAATTCTGGGTAAGAATTGCTAGTTTTGTTTGTACAATTTGCAAAACTCATCGGGTCCAGAAGGGGCAAAGTTTATCACAGAAGTTTGATAAGATGGATAGATTCTCGTTACAGGAAATAATAGTAAATTTAATGTATTCTGTGTTTCATTTTGTTTCATTTCATTATGTGTTCTGAGCTTACAGAGTACTCATTTATTTTGTTATTGGTTTCAGTAGTACTATGGTGTGCTGTATGTTCTAGGCAGTGTCAGTCATGATGAAATTGAGAATTTTCATCCCTTTTCATCTTTGGTTTTGGTGTAAAATTAGGCAAAATTTTGAAATGCTACATTCCATTAAGCTGGAACAACAGAAATTTTGGACATTTTTAATTGAAAGAAAATTCTTTTACAATCCTCAAATGGAAGAGTTTTGCTTTGCAAATTCCTGTAGCCTAAAGCGAGTTATAGTACTGACCCTTATTCAATTTCATGTTTCCCAGCTGCTACTAAAGCTCCA